AACAAACAATATATTAACTATCCAAAAAGCAAAATTGCCCCGAGACTTACACAATTATTTATGCTAAAACAAAGTGATAATCAAACTAGGAAATAAAAAAGAAAAGGAAATGCTAGCTAACCAAACCTAAATCAAAGAAATTACGAAAATTACCAAAAATTGAAAGATTTTAGTTACACTAAAATCTGGAAACTATAATGAAAAAGAAATACACTAAAAAAACCTAACCGAAATTGGATTTGTCTAAACCAGTTTCTAGACAATTTTTTTCTTCCCAAAAATGGCAAAGTCATGAAATTGAAGGCCTAAACATTGGAATTCCTCTAAAATCCCTCGGGGTCCATGGCAAAGCAATGGATCTAGATCTTTACAATATTTTTCATGTCTCGACCAAATTTCACCCCATTCCAAGCACGAATTGTCTTTCCTCTACTAGTGCCTTTTTCACATCTAAAATTGCAAGTATTCTATACTAAAATAAAAAATAACAATAACATTTCTAAAAACAATGGAACCAACTAAATTTTATAATAATGAAGAGAAAGAGACAATGAAAAAAAAAAAAAGAAGAAGAAATGCAATGAATAAAAAGAAAAAGAAATAAACTAGTGTATGTTGCCAGCTGCACTTCTTAGAAGTAAGGCCATTGATAACCTGGAAAAATTTTGTAAGCCTTGAAGTAAACTATGTAATAAAGGAATCCTCAAGGTCAGGGATGACCATAGCTCCTTCGTCCCTGCATGCAATGAGTGATTTGTGTGCATTGCTTTTGAGTTACAAAACTTTGCTTATCCACTAACAGTTATGTTGCGTACTGGGCAGTTGATGCAAACTGTGAATGTTATGGATATTTCTTCATGAATTAATTAGTATTTTCCACCATACGCAAACTACAGCATAAAGTTATGTTATGTTGTTTTTTGTGTTACTAGATCACAGTGGTTATGTTTTGCTGCTTTGTAACTATCAAGTTATTACAGGGTTTTGTGCATGAAAACCAGCCAATCTAGAACTGTTGATTAGACTTGCTTAAATTACCATGGAAAATTGGAAATACAGTGGTTGCGATATTATTAGTCAGTCTAAAAATAATTTTCTATCATAAATAGAGAAAGAGTAACCAGGCATAATGAATGATTTCATGGTATATTGGTGTCCTAACTAAAAGTCATCAATACAAGGTCCTCTTGATCTCACACCAGTTTTAGATTCAAGTGCTTGCCTATACACATTAGGAATGGCAACAAGGTGGGGGTAGTTTTTATGCACCCGTCCCCGATCCCTGATGAGGCACATTTTTACTATACCATTACCATCACTGGGCCAAAACCAATAAGGGATATTAATTTTCATACTGTCCCCAGCCCTTCAGGGCAAAAAATCATAGTAAACTGACCCTAGAGGACTAGGCCGGGCAGGTTACTGTCGGGTCAGATCCAAAAATTGCCGTCTGTAGTGCACATTTCATCAGAGCACTTCAGGCCAGGCAGAATCTAGTTAGCCTAAACCTATATTCTATCTGATGATCACAACCATAATGGCAACCAGGGAAGAAAAAAAAATGAAAGAATGAATAACAATATGACAGAAGGCACTGAATTACAAAAGCATAAAAGCAGATGATGCACGGCAGGCCAATATCAATGGAGGGATAACTGTTCTTGCCTTTGTTAGCTAAAACATTTCACAGTAAAAACAACAATAATCATACCTCCTGGATATTTTTTAAACTAAACAAGGTAAGTTTTAATGAATTATTAAATTTCTGTACTTTAAGCTAATATATGAATAGGCAGTACTTCCATATCCTATTCAATTATTAATAATATCAAATCATTCCAATAGTATTCAGATATTTCAGAGGCAAAAACAAATCTTCTGAACCTTAATTCCACAAATCATCTTACCTCTAGGTGTCCGTCAAATGGAGCCCAGCGTCCACAGTGACAGAAGATTTGGCCATATGGGTAAATACATGCATATGCTCTATATTTTAGTTAAGCAATATCCTCTCTAGAGCAAGACCCATGTTTTAAGGTAATTTTTATGAGAAACTAATGCATATTTTGTTTTGTTCACAGAGTAATTTCAGCTCCTAGAGGGTTTAGATCCTAAATTTCAAAGGAAAGTTAGTATGTAGTCCAGTTATTAATAATTTTTTCTCCTTTTTTATTTGCATGTTCACTATGCATAGCAACACAATAGGCTTTGATGTATCATATCTCTTTCTCGGACAGCCAGTATTATCAATTCTCTCATACATGAAATAAGCATAGATAAATAGACAAGAAATTGATTATTATTAACCTACAAAACATGGTTGTACTACAAAATAATTAATCAGAATATGATGGATGATCAGGTAGATGTATGACTGCTGTAAACTCAATACTTTCTGGCAGTAGACAGTTGCAGGAAGAACCTGAAACTTTGAAAAGCCATCAAATTAGATAAAGAGAAAACCTAGTCAGATGTAAATACACAAGGCCCGGATTCACAAGGTCAAGAAATGCAGGAAGCTACATATCCAGGACTATCCTAGATCCATCTAATTACTCATTTTAGATAAATAGATGCACCACATGTGATCTGTGTCAGATATTGCTCAGAGATTGGTTCACGATATGCTTGCTATTTCAGCCAATTTATTGGGGTTGCTAAGAAAGACAAGAAGAAAATTTCAAGATCCATGGGACTATATAAAGGCCCACTTTATCATAGCGAGAACTTGGGCCTAACTAATTATAATAGTCAGTTAGTCACACAAATTCCTACAAGCTGTCATAGAATCATAGGAGAGAATTACCTTTGAAAGCAAGGTTCTAAAAGGCGGTGTTATGTAACGGTTGCAGCTACCCGTTACATTGTTTTGCGGTGTGATGGAAATTCACATGTGTAATGGTCGTTGCGATGTTATGTAACGGTCGTAATGGTACTATAATGCCCCATAGTGGGCCGTTACACATTGTTACACATTTTGCACAAATTCTTTTTCAAAAAAAATCAGATCAAATCAAAAGCTTACACAATATTATAAGTCATGAACTCTATATTATACAACAATTAATAACAAAATAAATAAAAAGAAGAGGTACAATTAATCTTCCATTTTTGCATAGGAAGAGGCAAGGGCACGTAGTGTTTCACAGTCAACTTCTTCTATTAGATAGGGGATGTTACCCGGACTTATGAATTTATGACATATAAACTCATTAACTATTGAAATAAAATGTAAAAAACTTCCATTTATAATGATTTAAATATATGAAATATATTGAATCATACTTAAAAATTTAACAAAAATTGATCAAAATCTATTTTGAACCCGAATAAATGTGATTATGAAAAAAAATAAAATAAACACATCAGTAAGTTTTATTTCAAATTGTGCGAAAAATAAAAAAATTCCTGGTTCCGGTTACCGCCACCGCCTCACTGCCGCCGCAACCACAACCGTTTTTCAAAGCCTTGTTTGAAAGTTAATGCTTTTATTCTGAAGTTAAGCAACCAGTTTGTTTTCTCTGACCCTAGTATACACCAAATTTCAAACAGCATTGCAATTAAAGTATACTTTTGTATTTATGTTTTTTTTGATAAGAAACAAAATTACAATTGAAGTATAATGGAATTCAGAAGAACTGTAAAAAAAAATATGTAATCAACAAACTAGCTGGTATTCTTGATTCCATATCAATTATTGGTATGAAGGAGTATGGATAACCATACGTACAGTGAGGAAGTTTTTCCACTAATACAATCCCACTTTTCCTGCAGTCTTAATCGAGCAAAAATGACACCGCTCTTATCATCTCAAATCTATTAATTGTTATACAATCCTAGTCGTGTTGAACCACCAAAGCAAATAATTTGCAGATGTGGAATAGCTGGTTAGACAGAAAAACTATTATGTACATGGAACCAAGTCTGTTGCCTCTTTGACATGAGAAAAGGGACGCTTTTTCACTTCAAAGTATTTTCATTGGATCTCAAATCAGTCGAAGATCAGTTCTATCACCATTTATGTGTTCCATCTCAACCCTCAGTTGATCCAATATCACATAAATATCTCTACTTTCTGGGTGATCTTTGCTGCTTGCCACAAACCGATGGGTCTTATTATATATCTCAATCCAGCTGCAACCTGCTTCTTTGCTTATCTTTAAGTCATTCATTACAGTCCTTACCCTAGAAGCCTCATCAAACATTCTCTCGCCGGCAAAAATATTTGAAACAAGCATGTAAGATCCGGCTTCTTTTGGTTGCAGATAAAGCAAATGTTTAGAAGCCATCTTGCCAAACTTGAGATCCGCAAATAGCTTACACACATGGACTAAAGTTCTCCAAAGAAGTGGTGAGTCTGAAAATGGGCTTTCATTAATGAAATCCATGGCTTCAGAGAAAAATCCAGCTCGCCCAAAAAGATCAACCATACAAGCAAAATGCTCAAGTACTGGCCTAATCCCATATTTCCTCTCCATTTCATTGAATACACAAAACCCATAATTACATAAACCGGAGTAACTACAAGCTTGAAGAACAGCCAGTATTGTAATCTTGTCAGGAAGAAATCCTTCACTTACCATTTCTTCAAAAAGAGAAACTGCTTCTTTACCTTGCCCATGGAGGGCATGAGCAGAAACCATGGAATTCCAAGATACTGAATCATGCACTTTCATACCAGTAAACATTTGATGAGCATCTAAAATGCTTCCACATTTGGCATACATGGTGATTACAGCATTACCTACGGTCAAGTCAGATTCAAATCCTGTTTTAATGGCATAAGCGTGAAGAGTTGTCCCTCTAACTAGGCAAGCTTGATCGGCAGATAAACTAATGAGACAGGCAAACGTTACTGAATCTGGTTTTAATTCCGTGAGTCTGAGTTGATTAAACAAAAGCATTGCATCTTTGTCATCTCCTCCATCTACCTCTGTAAATCCCGTTAAAAATGCATTGAATGAGGCAGTATTTATGACTGAGAGACCATTGAGAAACAATCTTGCAGATTGAAGGTTCTCACATTTGGCATATAAATCAATTAAAGCAGTCAACACATTAATATTAGAGACCAGGCCAAGCTTTATCACAAATCCATGGATTTGAAGTCCAAAGTCCAAATTCTGGCACTCTGAACAGCCGTCAAGCACGCAAGATAAACAATTAGAATCCAAATTTAATCCTTGGTTAACCATGTCTAAGAACCCAACAAAGGCCTTGTGACCATGGCCATTTCTCACATATGCTGATAGAAGAGCTGTCCAAGAAACAAAATTCCTCTCAGCCATTCCATGAAACATACACTCAGCCTCTTCAACCAACCCATACCTTCCATACATTGTAATAATTGTGTTTCCAACAGAGGTTTTAGCCACTAAACCATGCTTAATAGCAAGCCCATGTAGCTGCCTGCCTTCCTCCAAACCTACAGTTCCATTGCAAGCACTTATTACATTGGTAAATGTATAATCGTTTGGTTCCAACCCAATACGGAGCAACTCAAAAAAGAACCAAAGTGCTTTCTCCCCATATCCAGCATTCCCATATTCCGAAATCATAAAATTCAGACAGCGAACATCTTTGTAAGTCAACTCATTGAACAATTTCTCTGCATCATCCAACTGGCCACTTCTTGAATACATAGAAACTAAAGAAGTTCCAACAAAAACATTATCACAAAACCCGCTTTTTATGGCAAAACCATGAATCTGTTCACCACAAATCCTTTCGTCCGGTGACTCACACGCCTGCAAAATTACCGAACAAGTGTGCTCATTAAATTCTTCATGAGATTTATGCATATGATGAGCTATTCTAGTAACCGATTTAACATCATGAACCCGGGAATACCCATTAATAAGAGAGGTCCATGTGATTGTATTCCGATCAAGCATTTCATCAAACACCCTTTGTGCATCATCCAATTTGTCGAATTTCACATACATGCTTACAAGATTATTGCCACGAAAGACGTCATTTTGGTAACCAAATTTCAATAAAAAGCCATGAATGGCCTGACCCAGAAGAAAATCTTCAGACCCAATTGAGATTTGGAGGAGCTGTGGCCAGTCATGATTCAAGAAGAGGGATTGCTCAGAAAATGAAACGCCACAAGTGATTGTTATGCAATTTGGGTTTTGTTTGATATTTAAAAGTTTAGAAGATGGATTGAAGGCGTCATTGAGTAGCTTTGTTTTGAGTGGTGGGAAGGGTTGTTGATGGCTTGCAAGCCGAGGAAACGAGGTGGTGGGAAAGCACACTACGGCATTCATGGAATTAATGTTTGAATTATTGCGCCAAGACAAATTTTCCGTTTGGCAGAAATTTACCCTAATCGTTTTGTTCGGTTTTGCCAAGCATTTAGTTGTTTACAAGTTGTTATACTATTATTATTATTATTATTATTATTTTTTATTATTATTTTTTTTTTTGGGATATTACTATACAAGTTCGAAAACTAGACCCAATTTTCAAGTCTTGACAATAAATTAGGATATCTAATGTAATACTCTTTTCTATCTTTTCAATCATTAATTAATTATATTATTTGCATATTATTGAGTTTAGAAAATGAGTTAAAAAATAGACTTGTATATCATTTTCTTATTTTTTTATATATGTGTTTATAAAAAGTTAAAAAATCACCCAATAAAAGTTTTCTTATAGACTGAAAGGTCCTATTACAATGTTTCGAACATCAGATTAATGTATCGAACATTAGATTTCGAACATCAGATTAATGTTTCAAACATTAGATTGATGTGCAAATGGGACTAAATGGAGCATAAGAAAACTTTTAGGACTAAATGGTTCAACTTTTCAGAAATTAAGACTTATGGGTAAATTTTTCAGTTTGAAAAATTACAAATACACCCCTGAGGTTTGCTTAAAATATGGATTAGCCCTTATAGTTTAAAAAATTTCAAATATCTCTTATCAAAATTTTTTATTTAACAAAATTAATTAAAAAAATAAAATTTCTAATTGCACTTCTACATAATAATAAAATTACATAAATTATTAATTAAAATAAATTTTTGACATCATTAAAAATTATTAATTGACTTAATAATTTATTAACAAAATGGGCTATTTGTAATGAAATTACAAACTTCAAGGGACGTGATGTAATTTTTAGAATCACATTAGGTAATTCGTATTTTAAACAAATCTCAGGGAATTTATTTATAATTAATCCTAAAATAGTCAACAAAAAAAAAAAGAATCAAAAATTAAAATTGTCAAAATGTCATGTACATACTAATCAATTAATTTTTTTCTTCTCAAGACTATCTACTTAGTCGGGAGTTTGAATTTTAGCCTTAAAATAAATAAAAAAATAATTAAAAAAAATCATTTTAAAAGTAAAAAGTCAATAAATTATACCCAAAAAAATTAAAGATTATATTTTTCCTCTACTTTTTGTATGTTTTTTAAAAAATTTAAAAAGTCATCCCAAACATACTAGTTGTTTTACACATAAATCAATTACTTTTTTTATCACAATTATCAAAATGTCATGTACATACTAATCAATTAATTTTTTTCTTCTCAAGACTATCTACTTAGTCGGGAGTTTGAATTTTAGCCTTAAAATAAATAAAAAATAATTAAATTTTAAAAGTAAAAATTCAATAAATTATACCCAAAAAAATTAAAGATTATATTGTTCCTCTACTTTTTGTATGTTTTTTAAAAAATTTAAAAAGTCATCCCAAACATACTAGTTGTTTTACACATAAATCAATTACTTTTTTTTATCACAATTATTTATTTAAATAAAAAAAATTATTTCGAAAACACATAGGTGGTGTTTGATAAAGCTGAAAATTAAAAACTGAAAATTGAAAATCAAAAATTAAGTATTGAAAACTGAATGTTGAATTTTTTAAACTAAAAAGTTGTTTGATAAAAATTTAAGTCGAGAACTAAAAATAACTTATTTGATATATATAAGATCAAATTTGAAATTTATTATTTTCAAATTATATATTTTAATTTTTATATTATGATGGTAGTGGTAGTGATGGTATAATGGTGGTTGTGCGGCGGCATGGTAGCGGTGGTAGTGGTGGTGATAGTAGTGGCAGTAAAATGAGGGTAAATACTTATGGCAATAATGACAATTGTGATGAAGGTGGTGGTGGTGGTGGTGATGGTAGCGGTAAAACGATGATGGTGGTGGTAGTAGTGGTGGTGGCATAATCGTGGTGGTGGTGGCAGCAGTAACAATAGCGATGGTGGTAGTGGTGGTGGTGGTGGTGGTAGTGGTGGCGGTGGCTATGGCATGATCGTGGTTGTGGCATGATGGTATATATCAATATTTATATTTAGTATTTGTTAATTCAGTCAAAATTAAGTAAGTTTTATATGATTTAAAATTTTCTTAAATTTTAACCTAAATTTTAAAAGATACTTAGCCTCCGTTTGGAAAGTGTGTTGGCTTTTTGGCTTTTTGATTTTTTTGACTATTTTAGCCTGGGGCTAAAAAGCCAGGTTTGGGAAGGACTTTTTGACTTTTTTGACTTTTTGGTAAGATGTGTTCATGGTAAATGACCAAAATGCCCTTGAAGTGATTTTAAGAATGCCAACTCCTTGACTTCTCTGCTCCACGTCAGCGTCATTGGAATTTTTTTTATTTTTATTTTTATTTTTTTTATGAGCTGTTTTGGGATTAGGGGTATCTCTATGGTTATTATTTTTTTAAAATTTATGTTTTTGTCATTTTTCTTTTTCTATACATTAATTTGTTCTTTTTCTTTAATTTACGTTTATTTGTTATTTATTTATATTTGTATACAATAATTTGTTTTTATTTTTCAAAAATGGGTTTTCATGTGTTTTATTTATTTGTAAATTACATGGCAAATGCTAATTTTTATTTTTATGTTTTTAATTTTTATTTTTTTGGATGAGGCGTATTTTTGTGGTTCTTTTTTTTTTTTTAATTTACGATTTTGTCATTTTTTTTTATTTCTATACATTAATTTGTTTTTATTTGTCAAAAATAGGTTTTCATGTGTTTTATCTATTTGTAAATTACGTGGCAAATGCTAATTTATGGTTTTATGTTTTTATTTTTTATTTTTTTCGATGAGGCATATTTTTGTGGTTCTGTTTTTTTTTTAAATTTACGTTTTTATCATTTTTTTAGGAATCTATACATTAATTTGCTTTTATTTTTCAAAAATGGGTTTTCATGTGTTTCATAGGATAGTTGTAAATTACGTGGCAAATACTAATTTCGTAACCCATGCACTTACATGTGTTCCGTCTATTGCTCCAATACAGTCCTGCTAACAACCCAATTGTATTGTTACTCCTACGGGTACATGTAATGGTTATTTTCATACTTCACGTCCACTTAATAATAAACACAAAATAACTGAACTTCGCACAAATAATTGGGTAATGTTTTTCAATAGTACCTTGAACGGTAGGTATTTCCGTTTAGACCGCACGTATGGATGTATACGATGCTGACTATATGTGGGTCGGCAATGAACAACAGTGAACTCTTTTATAGAAGCTAATACGTTATGCACGTGCTGAGACACAGTCTCTCACGAATGTTGGAACCGTTCTTGGATTTCTCGATTTTGCTTCCCTTTCAACACGTGGATAAACATTGCAACGCTTTCTTCAACAGCTAAGCCATGTGGACGTTGCGGTACTTGTAACCCAAAATCATTTACTAATGTCTTACATAAAGCGGCAAAAACTTCCTTCGGCATGCAAACATTTTCCTCAAATCGACCTATATGGCCCGTATATAGTTCGGATATCCATGCATTCTCGGTCAGTATAGAAGTGCGACGTGGCGTTTTAGCCATGTGTTTTTCATACCACTCCGTGACATACTGGCATGCTTGTAAAAATGTCCAGTTGTGTTCTTGTTGCAGCTGTACGGCCATTCCATTAAGCATTTCCTTTAACTCGTCATTGTTGCTTCCATCCCAGGGATTCATCACGTCTTTGTTGTTGCGAAACCTACAAGAGTGGCATTATTTCAATCAGTTTGCGCGTGATGCATGGACTCCAATGTAATAATAGTTTCCAATTACAGAATGTTGACATCATTTTTAATGTTAAAAAATGCCGTCACCAATGTCATGACTACCGCATAATGAAATGAATTAAACAAATAGTGAACCTGGTCGTTATCTTAAGCAGGGGGACTATTAACATAGCATAAGCCATTGCTAACACTAGTACAAAATATGACGTCAAACTAACGTAACAGTTTCCCAAACATAACATTTAATTCAAACACAACCATCATATTCCATTCCAAAAAAACACACAACCATTCAGACATCGCAGCTGCGACAAACATGCAAACCATTAGTAAACCATAGCTAGCAAGAAAAAAAAAAACATCGTACAAGTTTCAAACATGCAGACACAACCATCCTGTTTTAGTACAATTCCAACAATAACAAAAGTAAAAGTTTTCCAAAGCAAGAGAAGGGCAGGCATCTTCAGCATTAATAACACCGCTATATCACATACGGCGAGCCCCAAAAAGGTTCGCAAACTGTGCCGACGCAGTACACTGGAGTTGTTTCTGTGTAAGCCACCCTATAATGCGGTTGTCATCAGGTTGGCACATCATCGCCTCCCAGTAATCTGCGTTATCCATAAGTGTCGAGGCGAAATGAAATAGCGGCGTACCAATAAGGGATTGAATATTCGTCAGGCGATGCATGCACTCCGATATAGTGTACAACGATTCGTTACCTGTGAGGTTCCTCACCGTAACCTGTTGATTCTTGATACGCACCACATCTGTTAGATTGTTCATGCTTTCCGTAATAACTGACGCTCCACTTGTTGCCTTCTTCGACTTTGAAACACTTGTTGATGGCGTCTTTCTCCTTTTTCCCTTTTCAATCGGAATAGGTTCCAGTGAAGAATCTGAATCCACGTCTTGTACTCCTACGGGTATCGGATCAGCAAATGGCTGCGCTCCCATACTGCGTACAGAATCAGATGAGTTATCGGCATCTTCAGCAAGTTTCTCTCCTGGGGTCTAATAGTGCTTACTAATAGCTGATGCCCCGAGGAATACCGTCTCCATCAAGTCACGATGTTCCAAAGTTTTTTTCTTGAACTTGGCACACACCTTGTTTATCTGCACAGTTGGAGATTTATGAAAGAGGAAGACGTTACATTTCATATAACAATTAATACAGTTTACTTGAAAAGTTTAAATGTACTGGTAACAGACAAATACGAAACGCAAGAACCATGTACTTACCGATTCCATCTTGTCCCACCACTCCTCAGGTGCCTGAAGCATACCGGTGTCACTGTCAAACCCTATCCCTGACACTCCTTT